ATATTTCAAAAGATTTTGTCCTATATTGAAAAACCAAAGAGACATCTCGTCATTTTATTGTACTTAGTTTCTTATTAGATTTGTGTTAGATTGATAACTAATGTGGGCTTGGGTGTATGAGAGCGGAGTTGAGCTGGCCTGATTTAGTACAAACTAATGGATTTACGTCTGCATCCCCTGCCGTTAAACATGACCTAAGATAGTTTTACTCCTACTATATTTTGCAGGAAGTAAAAAATTATTTTTACTTTTTATGTTACAAATCTGGATAGAGTTTGACTCTTTCCACCAAGAAGATAAGATGATTTTATCTCTTAACATTTCTTCGTCTGGTGTTATATTTTGCAAGAAGTAAAAAATTATTTGTACTTTTTACGTTACAAGTCTTGATAGAGTTTGATTCTTTCCACCAAGAATCCACAAAGAAGATAAGATGATCTTATCTCTTAACCTTCCTTTGTGGTTATTCAGGCACAACGTTCTTTTGTTAACGACCATTCTTTTGTTAATGTTTATTTTGTTACACAAAGTCAGGCACACGTTTTTTGTTACAGAAAATGAGACAGTGCTATTAAGCACGCCTCAAACTTTCTTGTCTGCAATTTTATTAGCATTGTTCGGATTATTTCTACAACAGGTCTAGCTAAACAGTTTCATGGTGCTATGCATGCTGATCTTGTGGATGCTATAGTCGCAACTTGCAAGAGAAGCTATTTTGCTGGCTAAGTTAGTCAGGTTTCTAGCTTTCTCAATTGAAGGTGACTCTTTGTTAATTGTCAAACTCCTACTCTTTGAGGAGGTAGACTTGTTTGCTATAGGTCTAGTAATTGATGATGTTTGTGAGGCTATGTTAGATATTTAAATTACTTATGTCCCTTAGGTTTTAAGATATTGTAATAAAGTTGCTCATGCATTAGCAAAATATGTCAAATCGGGCTCTTTAGTTGATTCCTTGTGGTATTCACTATCAGATTTTTTTTGGGGTCAAAACGGTAATATCCACTACTAGATTTTTGTAAATGAAATGGTGCTGGATAATTTCCGGCAACTCTAGTTATTTGCGAAAAATTTTCAATTACGATAAAATGAGGCCATCTTGCGTTTTGCTCCCCTGAACTATAGGGGTAGTCACACTTTGCCCCCCTGAAGAAAAAAAAAATACACATTTTGCTCCCTACCCTAGTAAATGTTTAACCCTCAAAACATGTGAAAAATTTTCTTCCACCTTTGCCCTTAGTTTTTTTTTTATTCACAGTTTGTTCCTCCCTTAAACAAAACAAAATGTACAATTTGTATAACAAAGTTATAATATAATTTTAATATTTAATACTAACATACTTTATGCTAAAACATTATTGATGAAAAGTTCATATATATATATATATATATATATATATATATAGTTCTTCAAAATAAACTTTCTATAATAAGTCTTTACAATGTAATTTTGTAAGTTTTTTTTCAAGATAGAATAAAAAACATTTATAGTTAAAATTGTGCTATCAATACTTCATATGCTATAATATGTTTTGAAATATTTAAAATTAACTTTACAATATTTAACTTCAAAGAATAAAAAAAATGAGTTATATAAGAATTTAACAAATTTGATATTAACAAAACATGTTGACAAAACATTATGAACAAAAAATTTAAAAGCACTTGTCAAAAACTAAGCATCAAAAGATGATGCTCAATATAAGTTTAAACATAAAAAATATTAATTATGTGCATTTATTTAATTAACCTAAAAGATATAAATATATTTTTAAATTACAATATTTGCTCCAAGAGTAAGAAAGGGTATATGTATTTTGTTGATATAAATTATTAAAATTTTACATAACACTTTTTTGAAGGTTAAAGACTTGAAAGTTTATTTTACATATTTCAAAATATACTATGGCACATGAGATTATTTACAATATATTTTTGACTATAGAAGTTTTTAATTCTATCTTGAAGAAAACTTACAAAAATACATTGCAAGGAAATACTGACAGTACAGTGATTATATAGAAAGTTTATTTTAAAGAATTATATATACTAGTGGATGAGGCACACTCTATGTGTGTACATATTTTAGGAAAAAAATAAATAATGAAAAGTGAAAACAATGGTACTAACATGGAGGTTTAGATAAACATGGAGAAATCAAATCAAAGCAACTGTATTGACGTGGAAAGAGGAAAACTATGGTTTTAAGTTCTCAATTGTAACTATATTGTGGCCATCTTGCCCTTAATGATAAGGTTAAAATTGGCAATTCAAAAAATGACATATTTTTTTTAACACAAACCCTACTCACACTTTATACATAGATAGATATATGGTATTTTTCATCAAAAATATTTTGGTGTAAAGTATGTTAGTTTTAAGTTGTATAATTATACTCAACTTTCTAATCAGTTCAATATATAATATATAGAGTTGCTAATTATTAAAGTAAAGTATACATTTTTTTTGGTTGAAGGGGGCAAAGTGTGAATAATATTAAGGGCAAAGTTGGAAGCAAAATTTCAAGTGTTTTGAGTGCCTAACATTTACTAGAATAGGGGGATAAAGTGTTGTCGCACCCCATTTTCTGAAAATAAAATTAGAAAAGGTGTTTAAAAAAAATGATTTTTTGATATTAGAAAATAAATAAAGAAAAAGGGTCTAAAATGAGATTTTAAAATTCTCGACTGTTTGGACCCAAAATAAAGTCTAAAAAGATTTTTAAGAAAAAATAGGAGTCACCACTTGGTATTGAATTTAGATGTACCAAATCACCCAAAATATATTTTTAAATGAAAAAATAAATAAAACCCCTTTTAGATTACTCCAAGTCTTTGAAAAAAATAAAAGAAAAGAGTTTGGGAGTCACGGTTGAAGAAATAGAAGGGAAAATTTTGATAGGCTCAAACCTAAGACACCTTTTTAACCTAGCCAAGGCTAATTGCAAGATTTAATCAAAAATTTTCCTAATCTAATCTATGAAGTTTATCACATTTGAATGTTTCTGTATAGATGCAAATCTAGACCTAAAAGATATCTGGAGGGTCGAAATGTCTCTTTAAAGTTTAATTGGTGCAAATTACATTAATTGTGATGCCCAAAAATGATTCTTAGAAGAGTTCACGAAAAATTCAAAAGATGGGACTCAAAAAAGAAATTAAAATATATAGATAAATATACATGATCTAAAAAAGGAGAATGCAACATAACGGGTACGAGATACTAAAATTCGTGACTCAAATTTTTCTTCTTATAGAAGGGATAAGATCGTGTTAAGATTAAAAAGTCATACTTGTTCATTTTCCATATTTGAAGGGTGACTTTCCTAGCCTAGTCAAGCAAACGTACTAACCTATTTCTAATTTTCTAAAATGAGATGCAATTCTAAATGATATGATCCAAACATATAGAGGGTAAGGGAATAATAGTAGTGAAAATGTCATGCAAAAATGAAAATAACCTAAAAATAGGAAAAAATGCATGAAATATAATAAATGTCTCGCAAAAGTGTGAATCTAGCGCGAAAATTGGCTAAAGGGTCTAGCGTTGGACTAGTTCATTTCTATAAGTTCTCATTGGCATTGGACTAGTGAAAAATTGGGGAGGAATGCCACAATTAACATTGGACTAGTACGGTGACGTCATGTATTTATTATAAATAAATAAAGTATATAAAGTATAATTAAAGTAAAAAAACACATAAAACATATAGAACACATAACACCTAGGCATAATATCTAGATGCAAAACCTTAAAGAAAGCGAATAAACACATAGGCACACAAACACACAAGCATGCAAGCAAATAAAAACTAGCTATTACATTTGAAGCCTTAACTATGGTCTAGAAGGGAATTTTTGGAATTAATAAATTTATCTATTACATTTATCTAATTAATTACATTTTTGGTAAAAATAAAATCTATCTATTACATGGCCTAACTAAATACATTTCTTGGACACCTATCTATTACAATTTAGCATTTAAATACCTCCCAAATAATTATAAAAAATTAAATACAACAAATTAAAACTTAAAGTGAATGAAATGGGTAAATAAAGGAAAAAACACTCAAAATATGCAATCACACATGAAACACATAGAAGCACATAAAAAACTTAAAATAATAATAGAAAGTACCTCCCTTGAAATAGTGGCTAAATGAAGTAGAGTTTGCCTTATTTATACTCCAAAATTAACAAAATAGTCAAGGAACCAATTTAATTAACAATTTTAAAAAAAATGTAAACATGTAGCAAAATTCACTCTATTCCAAAGAAATATGAATAAACATAAAATTCCTAAAATTCACCAATTAAATGCATCTAAATGAAGTATGATTAACAATTAAAGAAGGTAAACAATTATACTTAAGAAATCAAAACCATTAGGGACTTAATTGCAAAAATTGAAAAGTTTTTGGGTGAATGTATAATTCTTAAAAAGATCAAGATCAAGATAAAAAAATGAAGTTTAGGGACCAAAATGTAACTAAAGGAAAAAACACTCAAAATATGCAATCACACATGAAACACATAGAAGCACATAAAAAACTTAAAATAATAATAGAAAGTACCTCCCTTGAAATAGTGGCTAAATGAAGTAGAGTTTGCCTTATTTATACTCCAAAATTAACAAAATAGTCAAGGAACCAATTTAATTAACAATTTTAAAAAAAATGTAAACATGTAGCAAAATTCACTCTATTCCAAAGAAATATGAATAAACATAAAATTCCTAAAATTCACCAATTAAATGCATCTAAATGAAGTATGATTAACAATTAAAGAAGGTAAACAATTATACTTAAGAAATCAAAACCATTAGGGACTTAATTGCAAAAATTGAAAAGTTTTTGGGTGAATGTATAATTCTTAAAAAGATCAAGATCAAGATAAAAAAATGAAGTTTAGGGACCAAAATGTAACTAAATTAAGGACCTAATTGAAAAAATCCAAAATTTTTGGATCAAAATGAAATTATTTAAAAATTTAGGAACTTAATTGCAAAGTCCGTTTCTGATTTGACCCCAAAAAAACGATGGGCCTTTTCTTTTCTTTTTATCTGCTTTGGTCTAGGCCGAACACTTTGGCCCAGCGAATTTTGCCCACATTATTTCCATTGTTCCAACCAAAAAAGAGATTGGGCTTGAATACCCAAACCCATGTCACAAACCCAAACAAAACCCAGCAATTTTCAACCTCAAACCCAGCATAAGCTGCAACCCATTTTGATTAATACAGCCCAACTGCAGACATCAAGCTATTGAAGATCAAACAGAGGAAGGAAACCAACGGAAAATGCAAGAAAAGAAAGAACGAGGCTAGCTTCTGGTGGATCCAAGAATGGGTCCATCGAAAGCTCGGCCGATTCATCAAATCATCAAACATCAGACCATCTTCAAACCTGTTGGCAAATTCGAGTCATCAAAACTAGTTTTTCAAAGCATCACGAATCATAAAAAAAATAAAATAAAATAAAAAATTAAGAACCCCATTCATGAAAGAGAAAACTCATGTAATAGTTCAAAATTTTCATGAAAAGCGTTAAATGAATTAATAAGGGAAGCTATCATTACCTATAAATGGTTGGGGACTGAATTAATGTGGGAAAAACTTTAAACGATCACCTAAATTGCTAAAAACGAAGAAAGAACTTTTTGCTGCAGTTCTTTAAGGATGGTGAAAGCAGCAAGTTCAGACCTCAATCCGAAGATGTTGCAGCAGTTTTTTCCAAAAAAAAATTCAACACCAAATTTTCTCTCCAACAATCATAGATTACCCAGAAACAAACACTTGCTTAGGAGAAGCTCTAAAGAGATCAGAATAGGGTCAAGAAGCTGACTGGATCATCAGCCCTTGCTCAAGAAATTTTTCGGAAAAATTTCTGCTATATTTTTCTCTTTCCCCATTCTCTCTTTTCTGCTCTTTTTCTTTCTGTTGTTTTTCCTTACCTCCTCTCCTAAAAGCTGCGTATTTAACTATTTAAATGGAACAGAAAACCTAAACCTAAGAGGGAGGGTTCAGATTCAAAGGGGAAGGGGGTATGTGGATGTTCTTGAGTTCATTGGATCTTTTTGATAGCTAGTATTGATAAGAATTTGATTGGTGATGTGTCTTGTACTGACCAGACTTGGGAGGCAAGGAAATGAGGAGCCAAAACGAATTTGAGAAGCTCCAAAAAGGACATAGCTGTCTGAAGTGACGAAAAAGAAAGCTGCATTTTTGCTCCTTTTTTTTTTTCTTTACAAAATTTGATTTTTCATTTCCATCTTTTCCTTTTGATTTTTCTGCAAAAACCAATCAAATAAAAATCGAAGAAAGAGAAGCACAAAATGATTTTTCTTAGAAAAATAAAAATAGAAATAAATAAAAAATAAAAAATAAAAAATAAAAAATAAAAATAAAAATAAAAATAAATAAATAATAAAATAATTTATTAGAATTTTGGTGTCTACCTCTATAATTCAGGGGGACAAAGTGTTATTTGCCCAACATAGAAAAGAAGAAACCTCTCAACATGAGAATTAGGCTTTCAATAGGGCCTTATGAGCTAGGCTTTGAAAGCCCAAGCTTGGCCCAAATAAGAAGCCATTTTTGTCGTCCCAAGCACGAACCAGACGAATCTCAAATTAGCATCCGAGCCTCGGACTGAGATATAGACAGCCTGAATTTTGATGAAAGCATATGTTTTTATTTTATATAAAAATAAAATGGGTTAAATCTAATACACAGAAAAGCCTCTCGTAGTTTCAAAACATATAAAACGATATCTCATGTTTTGAACTAAATTGTAAACTAACAAAATTCGTTAAATTTAACGGAATCTGGTAAACTTAACAGAATCTGATAAACTTAATGGTAAATTTAATGGAATCCGGTAAGTTTAATGGCAGAAACCGTCATTTTCATTAAATTTAATGAATTCTGTTAGTTTACAATTTAGTTCAAAACAAGAGGTATCGTTTTGTATATTTTGAAACCATAAGGGATTTTTCTGTCTATTAGGTACACCACAGGGGTTTTTTTTGTTTTTAACCAAAATAAAATTAAAATAAAATAAGTTTATATAGTTACTGTAAAGAAAAATTGGTGCAACAATATAAAATTATTGCTGAAAACAAGCACAGTTATTTGATAAAATTTTACTCATTTTAAACATAGGCTAATATTAAACATCTGAGTTATATTTGTTGAAATTTTAAAATGGGTTAGGTTCTATCGGGACTTGAGTATAGTTTGTTCAAACTCAAATCAGAATTTAATTGGGCTCCTTGTTAAATACTCAAACTTAGCCCAACTCTAATTCAGGTGAATCTTAGTCACATTGTAAATTAGTCAAATAGGTCAGATTCGAGTTGTCTCTCCAACTCACAATCCTCACGAGAATATGATTATCTCATTAAAAAAAGGTCATCTTCCATCTTATCTTAATGCTATTTGGCTAAATGATATTGGGTTCGTTTGGATGGTGTACTTTTTGAGTATTTGTATAAAATTTTGCCAGAACTTACTATATAATTTATTGAAAAACTTTTGTGTACTTGAGGATTTGGAGAAAATTTTTTTATTTTCTTTTTTCCTCTTCTTTTTCTTTATTTTCCCCATTTTCCGTTCTTTTTCTTGCTTCCCACATCCTCATCACCGGCTGCCAATCACCATTACCGTCAATAACCACTCCACCTTTCCCCTCTTTTTTTTCCCTCTCCTTCTTCCCTTTTTTCTTTCTCCTCATCCTCCTTCTTTTCCCAGCCACCCTCTCACCCCGTCCCCCTTCCCTCGACCTCTCCTGAGGAGAGAGAGAGAGAGAGAGAGAGAGAGAGAGAGAGAGAGAGAGGAGGGATGGTGGCAGGTTCAGGTGGCTATAGTAGGTGTTGAGAGAATGTAAGTATTCTTGTAGATAATAAATTAGTAAGGATATTCTTATAAATAGTTTGTTAGGTTTGTACTACTATAAATACTAGTTAGGCACTCATAATGTGTGTGCTAGATGTTTTTCTTTCAAAATATATATTTTCATGGTATCAGAGCTAAAGTCCTAGGGTTTGGAGGCGAATTACCTCACTCTATTCTTTTTTCTTATGAACCTGTGTTTAAATTACCTCATCGTATTTTTGGATGTGTGTGTTTTGTTCACCAGCTTGCTCCTGTGGTGGATAAATTAGATCATCATACTATTAAGTGTATTTTCTTAGGATACGCATGAGCGTAAAAAAGGCATAGATGTTACAGTCAAGTTTTAAATCGATTTTTCACTTATGTTGATATTACTTGCTTTGAATCCGCTCCTTATTTTATGAAACAATGTATGCCTTGTGAGTTAGAACAGTGTTTCTCTTTTCCTCCTCCTTTATACAGTCCAACAAATTCCACAAATCGGTTATCTCGTCCTAATTTTCAAGTTTATTCTCGTCATTCCATAGTTGAGAAAACTCCTGATATGTCACGCACTTCACCAATTACCTCTCAATCTTCAAATCCAGATATGACGCCCTCCAATTAGTTAGATCTTCCTATTGCTTTACGCAAAGGTAAGAGGCATTGTACTTCTCATCTTATTTCTAATTTTGTTTCTTATTCTCATCTCTCTCTGTCATATTGATCTTTTGTTGCTTCACTTGATTCTATGTTCATTCCTAAATCTATTACCCATGCTCTCAATCATCCTGGTTGGAGATTAGCTATGCAAGAAGAGATGTTTGCTTTGGAGCAAAATGATACTTGGGATCTTGTCCCAATTCCTTCTGGTAAGCCTGTTGTTGATTGTAAATGGGTGTACATTATAAAAGTACAGCCTAATGATTTTATTGCTAGATTGAAGACTCGTCTTGTAACTAAAGGATTTACTCAGGTGTATGGAATAAACTACTTAGAGACATTTTCTCCTGTTACAAAGATTACCTCTGTTCGTCTTCTTATCTCTTTGGCAACAACTTATAATTGGCCATTACATCAGTTGAATGTGAAAAATGCGTTTTTACATGGAGATTTGGAAGAAGAGGTATATATGGAACAACCTTCTAGGTTTGTTATTCAGGGGGAGAATTCGCGATTGGTTTGTCATCTGAAAAAATCCTTATATGGATTGAAATAGTCTCCTAGGACTTGGTTTGGTCGGTTTAGTAGTGTTGTCATGGAGTTCGGTTTGACAAGATGTCGAGTAGATCATTCTGTATTTTATCGACATTCTAATGCTGGTAAAATTTTATTAGTTGTTTATATGGATGATATTGTGATTACAGGTGATGATGTTGTGAGGATCCAGAAATTTAAATCCAATCTGCAGGCAAACTTTTAGATAAAAGATTTAGGTCATTTACAATATTTTCTGGATATTGAAATATTTCAGTCTAAATATGGGATTTATTTATATCAAAGAAAATATGTACTCGATATGTTAAGTGAAGTTGGAATGTTAAGTTGCCGACTTGTGGGTACTCCTATGGATCCTAATGTGAAATTAGTAGGAGATCAATGTGCATTACTAGATGATCCTGGGCAATATTGAAGACTTGTAGGTAAATTAAATTATCTCACTGTAATGAGACTTGACATTTCGTTTGCAATGAGTGTCGTAAGTCAATTTCTTGAGACCCCTCGTACCAGTCATTAGAATGCTATTATACGAATTCTCAGGTATCTTAAGAGTGCTCTTGAAAAAGGGTTACTGTATCAAAATCATGAACACACTGATATTGAAGGATACAGTGATGTAGATTGGGCTGGTTTTGCCTCAGATTGAAGATCAACCATAGGATATTGTATGTTTATTGGTGGTAATTTTGTGTCATGCAAGAGTAAGAAGCAAACAATTTTCTCCAGATCAAGTGCAGAATTTGAATACCGCGTTATGGCTCACACTACGTGTGAGTTGATTTGGTTGAAGAACATGTTACTTGAAATTGGATTTGAGCATAAACAACCTATGAATTTAGTGTGTAATAATCAGGCGGCTGTTCATATTGCGTCTAACTCGGTATTTAATGAAAGAACAAAACGTATTGAAGTTGATTGTCATTTCATTCGAGAGAAATTGCTTGATGGAGTCATCAAGACATCTCATGTACCATCTATAGATCAATTGGCTGATTTGTTTACCAAAAGTTTAGGGGGCTCTAGGGTAAAATATATTTGTAACAAGTTGGGTGCTTATGATATATATGCTCCAACTTGAGAGGAAGTGTTAAGAGAGTATAAGTACTCTTGTAGATAATAAATTAGTAAGGGTATTCTTATAAATAGTTTGTTAGATTTGTACTAATATAAATACTAATTAGGTACTCATAATATGTGTGCTAGATGTTTTTCTTCCGAAATACATATTCTCAGTAGGCTGAGATGAGTGACTTAGAGGAGGATGAAAAGAAGAAAGGAAAGTAGAAAAAAATTTTGTGTGTTTTTTGGCATTTTGAGGGTGCATTTTAAAAACTTTGGAGTGTTTTGAAAGGGTTACTACAAACAAAGTGATAACAAAAACTGTCTCCTAGAAACAAGCCATGAAAGCTGGCTTCCAAACAGGGCCATTATCACACCACTAATTTAAGTGCCAAAGTTATCTTCACTAGCCAAAGGATAAAAATAATTCATGTTAAAAGACAAATAGACTTGGACCAGAAAAATTTGTGCTCAAAATATTTTGTGCATGTCTTTTATCTGTAAAAAAATCACATGAATTCGAATAAAATTTTTTCAAATGTATCAATCAGCTAAATCCGTACCAGAATTGTTTTATGTCATAAATAAACTTGAACACTCAAAAAAAATAAATGGAAAAATAGATTCACAACTTTTACAATCAACTTAGTCTTCCACTTTTGGAAGCAATTTGTTTAGATTTAGTAAAAAATTGAGTTCATTTTGAAAAAAGTAAATCTATGATTTTAAAAGAAACGTATTCTGGCATTAAAATAAATATGTGGTATTATTAGTAGCCATGCTTCTCTTGTTGTGGATATTTTGTCAATTGAACTAGTCATGACTTTTGTCAGAATAGCATAAACATATGAGAAAATAAAGAAATGTAAATGAGATGTCTATAACTTCATCTATCCATTTTATGACAAATACGTTGAATAAAATAGTAAGAAAATAAATCCAGCTAAAAAAAATCAATATTCAAAAATACCATCAATGGGGGTGTTTGAAGAGAGGGTAATGCCAGATCATGTCAACAAAACACTCATCTCCTTAATACCAAAAGTGGAATTTCCAGAAATGGTCTCCTAGTTCAGACCCATCTCGTTGTGTAACGTTCCTTATAAGGTGGTAACGAAGATTATAGTAGAAAGGATTCGACCGTTGATTTCCGAGCTAGTTGAGCAGAATCAATGGCAGACAAGCAGCAGATAATATAATTATAGCTCAGGAGATCTTACACACTATGAGCAAGTGAAGGGGAAAGAAGGGAGGAATGGCAATAAAAGTAGACTTGGAGAAGGCTTATGATAGATTAAGATGGAGTTTTATACATCAGACTCTCAGGTTTGCAGGCTTTCCGAAAAAGCTAAATGAGCTAATCATGAACTGTGTACAGGCAAATGCCATGCAAGTCCTGTGGAATGGAGAGAAATCAGAACCTTTTAAGCCAACTCGAGGGATTCGGCAAGGTGACCCGCTATCACCGTATTTGTTTGTATTGTGTATAGAGAGGTTGGGTCATATGATCAAAGAAGCGGTAGCAATGAAGGACTGGAGACCAATTAAAGTAACTCGGAATGGCTCAGGTGTAGCTTATTTAAGTTTTGTAGATGACTTAATGTTGTTTGCAGAGGCAAGTATGGAACAAGCAGAGGTGGTGGGAAATATTTTGGGTAATTTTTGCAAGTTGTAGGGGCAAAAAGTAAATGTAAGGAAAACAAAGATGTTTTACTTAGGAAATGTTTCTTGGAGTAGGAGAATGTTGATACAAGGGAAGTTTGGGATAGAGGTCACGGAGGATTTGGGGAAATATTTGGGTGTGCCTCTGCTGCATGGGAGAGTGACAAAGAGTACATTTCAACCAGTTGTGGACCAAGTCAAAAAAAGACTACATCAGGCTGACAAAAGAAAGTGCTATCCTTTGCAGGAAGGGCAACACTAGTAAAGTCAGTGCTAATTGCAGTTTCTCTATATACAATGCAGACGGCTATGTTACCTGCTCAGTGCTAGATGAAGTAGAGAGATATGCAAGGGATTTTTTATGGGGGGATTCAGCAGAACGTAGGAAAATTCATCATGTGAACTGGGATACTATGACAAGGGACAAAACGGAAATGAGGGAGACCAATAGAGCAATACTTGTCAAGTTGAGCTGGAGAGCTTTGCACCAGAAGGAGTCGCTGTGGGTAAGGGTTCTTAGCAACAAGTATAAAGAATCAGAAGGGTATGGGAGAAAATCCTTCGTCTGGAGGAGTATAGAGGAGGGACAGAAGGTGGTGAGGAAAGGAGTGAGGTGGACAGTGGTAAATGGAGAAGATGTTAGTTTTTGGAAGGACGTATGGTTATTAGAGAAGCCATTAGTGGACATGAGTAGAAGGGAAATTCTGACAGGAGAGCTGCATAAGAAAGTCATGGATTACTGGGTTATTAGGGAGGGATGGAATATGGATGCATTGGAACCTTTACTGTCCACCCAAATGGTAAGTAAGCTATTGGAAGTCCATTTAGCAGAAGAAGGCTCCGACAAGGACTCGCCAATGTGGACTCCGGATCCTAGGAGAGTGTTTTCAACAAGAACTGCATATCAACTAGAATGTAATGAAGAAATACTTGTTAATCAACATGGATGGAATCAAATTTGGAAGCAAAGAGGACCGGGCAGATGGCAATTCATGTTGTGGTTAGCTAGGCACCAACGACTTTTAACTAATGCAGAAAAGAAGCGAAGGCATCTCCAGGAGATTAGTTACTGCAAAATATCTGGGCAGGATCCGGAAACGCAGCTACATGCGCTATGAGATTGTCCCTGGGCTAGAAAGATATGGTTTAGCCTAGTTCATCCAAGATATTGGGAGGAATTTAACAGCAAGAGTGCAGGAGATTGGATAGACTGGAATCTGAAAAGAGGTAATATAGGCAGATAGGATCACCTGGACCGGCAGATAGTGTTCCAACAGGTGGTACACTCAATATGGGGAGGTAGGAATAGTTTTTATATCAACGAGGACAGCAGTAAAATCGATAGTCTAGAGAAAATGGTTGTTGCAGTGTTGGAAGCTAATCAAAGAGTACTAGAGAGGGAAACCAGGAGCAAGAAAAGGCAAATTATAAACATCGGGTGGGGTAAACTGGAGAGAGATTGGATAAAGGTTAGTGTAGATGGGGCGTTTAGTTCCAGGAGTGGTATTGTAGGGGCTGGAGGGCTATTAAGAGATGAGTATGGAATGTGGATTAGCAGATTTTGGGCAAATTTAGGACAGAGGACCCATACTGAAGCTGAACTATGGGCTATCTGGTTTGGAATGAAGACAACTTGGGACAAGCGGTACAAGAGAGTGATCATTGAAACGGACTCTAAAGTGAGTTTAGAGCTTATTGACAAAGAGCCAACAGAGAGCCCCCTTAGGGTGCAGATCAGCCAAATCCGAAGTTGAAGCAAGAGGCAATGGCAATGTGAGTTATTACATCAATGGAGGGAGGCTAACTTGAATGCAGATTGGTTAGCTAAGAGTGGCTTGAATTTGGAGCCGGGAGTTCAAGAGATGGCATCTCCACCAGAGGAGTTGAGGAAGTGGTTGGCATATGATGTTGTAGGCATTACAACGCCTAGATTAGTTGCCGTGTAATAGGTCTAAAGCCCTCCTATCAAACCAAAAATAAAAAAAAAAACCATCAATTTATGTTTTTTTAATAAATTTTCCTTTGGGTTAATTCGAAAAAACCCTATGAAATTACATTTGCAGTAAATTGCACTCCTCAAATATTCATTTACAACAACCTCCTTCTTGTGGTTTCTAAAGTTTCTAAATCACACACATATTTCCTTTTTCATCTTCTTACATGACAAGCATATGCCACTAATAAAATTCTCAAATAATTCGAACATGATTTTGTTTCCAAAAATATCCTTATGCGTAATGGACTTCTATATGCACGCCACTCTTAGGCATATATTTATTTTTCTGTTTTTGGTGATATATAAAATAGGTGTGTGCATAAAAGTCGATTACAATTTTGGAAATGAAACTAGGGCTAAAATATTTAGGCGGCTATTCAGTCCATTTTCTGGTAGGATGTTCATGTCATTTGAAGAAATGAAAGGGAAATTAGAAGTTATTTGCAGCTTTTACTTGATTAATAAAATTTGACTACCATAAAGAGGGGGGAGGGGGAGATTGATGCAATTTGACATTCAGGGGATAAAGCGTCTAAATTGTATTTTGGAGGAGGTTTTCTTTCGAATTAACCCTTTTTTCCTTTTGAAGCTTAGTAATGGAGCAAAAGAAAAATATTGAGTAAAGTACAAAAGCAAATGAATAGAAGACCAATTAAAGAGATAGTAAGAAAGAATAAATTTAAAAAACTCAATTTTAGATGTGTTAAGGGGAAAAAGTTAATAAGAATCAAGATAGTTAGTGGCTCATGCTAAGATAATACAGAGGTTGATCTAGAACTCAAGGAGTAGATGTTTCAGTTTCATGCAAATTTGAAGCTTAAAATAATTGCCCTAAATGAAATCAAATGATTTGTTTAGATGTCCTTAACAGCTAACTGCTTTTGTCCTCCGGTGCTAACATCACAAGGTCTACAATAAATGAAATTACCAAAGCTTCACAAACCAACAAAATTCTTTGCAACCTGCTAAGCTTCATCATTCTTATTATATCATGTTTGTCATATTAAAATTGATTTTGACCAATGCTGAGTATAATTGTCATTTATGCTAGGGAGATTTTCGAATTGTTACTTCTTGCAAACAACATGTGCAACTGAGTAAGAACAAGTCAGCGTCAACAATTAAAAAAGGAAAGGCGATCTAACCACCATATTCATAAATATCATTGTATATCGTTCATAATTCTTCAATGCTTCAGCCAATCTTGTTTCTCTGTAAAAACTGAGTTTTGATCTTCTCAAGTGTTGTGAGGGCATCTTTTATGATGATCCTATTCTCTGGGACATCTGAAGTGCAACTTAAAGCAAGCTGCAAGATAGATAATACACAAGCCATGTTTTCATTGGCTTGTTCTTCTTTTGGATGAAGTAATTTCACATCAACAACTTTATCTACGGAACTTGGTAATGATTCCTGAATCCAACGCCTTATGCTTAGCTCTTCTGTGAACATCTCATCCTTTGGTCGCTTTCCAGTGAATGCTTCAATCATGGTAATGCCAAAACTGTATACATCGCACCTAGTTGACACCGGTCCTTCTAGTCCATGCTCTGTCACGAAGGGAAAAAAATAGCTGTTTTACAAAGATTATAATGTTTTCATATTCAGAATAGAAGCGTTATGATATATTGTATCTTAAATTTGGTTTGGCTAATGAGTGCTAGGGACACTCGTTAGGATAATTTCAAGAGTCAATTTTTTTTATAAGTAAAACTAATTTGGAAAAGTATCAAAATGCAAGTGAATAATATATGTTAGTGTATGCATTTACATAACAAGTTAGGTATTATTTAAATGTTTTAATGAATATTCCAAAAACACACGTAAAATTTTTTTTTTTTATCAAAAATAAAAAGTTGTAGGTTGAGAGCAAAGAATAGTAACCTGGAGCGATGTACCCTATTGTTGCCAGGGTTTTTGTCTGTACATGGCTTTCTCCACCTCCCAACAATTTAGCAATCCCAAAGTCACTAACATGAGCTACCATATCTTCATCTAGTAAAATGTTACTAGGCTTCAAATCACAATGAATTATGGGAAATGAATACCCATAATGAAGATATTCCAACCCACGAGCCACATCAATCATGATGTCCAATCTTTGCATGATACTCAGGACATGGTGGTCAAGATGAAGCCATTTCTCCAGGCTTCCATTAGGCATGAATTCTAGTACCAAAGCTTTAAAGTCCGGATTAGAACAAGCACTGATTACTTTGATCAAATTTCTATGACGAAGGCGGCACAAGACTTCACATTCTGTGTCAAAAGTTTTCAATATCCCCTCAAGCTGCATATCAAATACCTTTATAGCCCAAATTACCCCATTAGCAGATACCCCTTTGTAAACTGAACCAAACGTCCCAGATCCAAGCAAATTACTCTTGCTGAAACCATTTGTTATTCGTCGAAGTTCATGGTAGGATACCCTTTGATATGTTGTTTCTGGAAACAAATCATGAGCTGGAGCCATAGTTTTCTTTCTTGCCAACCTTTTTGTCAACAAAAGTGAAATGCCCAAGATTAGGACAGCAGATCCTATTGGCAGCAACACAAGCAAGAGTACCTTTTTCTTTGATCTATGTTGAGAAGTTTGACAAGGTTGGAACCAAGGAGCACCACATAATGCTTCATTAGCAAGAAAAGATAGGATGGTGAAGTTCATAAAAGGTCCTCCTCGAGGAACCGGTCCTTGTAGTTTGTTGTAGGAAACATTCAAATATTGAAGATCCAAGAGTACCTCCAAAGAGTTAGGTATCACACCAGCTAAACTGTTGAATGACAGATCCAAGTACTGCAAAGCCAACATTGTCTTGATTGAGTCTGGAATTGACCCTTGTAGATTATTATGCTCTAAGGAGAGTTCCTGTAAATCCTGTAGTGCCCCAATAGTGCTAGGGATGTCACCAGAAAACTGGTTCACAGATAGATTCAGTTTGATCAGTGTCTTCATGTCTCCAATTTGGGAGGACAAAGAACCATTAAGAAAATTGATGGACAAGTCAAGCTCCAACAAGTCATTAAGGCTCCACAAGCTTGTTGGTACACTAGACGTTAGATTGTTGGAATTCAAATAAAGATATCTCAATGAAGAGATGCTCCCTATGCAGTCAGGCACTTTGCCAGACAGCCTATTTCTTGCTAAAATTAAGTATCCTAAGTTGGGAAAATGACAAAACTCACTTGGAATTGGTCCTTGTATTTTGTTATCTTCAAAACTTATCCGCTGAAGTTGTCTTAAACCTGAGATGGAACTCGGAATTATTCCTGTCAAACCATTGCTTGCCAAGTTTAGCAACTCCATGTTGCTCAAGTTGCCTAGTGACCTTGGAATTTCACCTCCAATTCCACAATGAAACATATTAATTGAGTCAAGAGAGTTGGAAAGATTTCCAATAGACACTGGAAGATTGCCATTCAGTGGATTTTCATTTAGCAACAACTTTCTCAAATATCTGCAATTTCCTAAAGAACTGAAGAAGGCCATATCTCCAGATAGAGTAAAATTGTTTCTTGAAAGAGACAAAACTTCTAGGAATCTTAGGCTACCAAGAGAATGAGGAATTTCACCAAAAAATTTATTCTCTGACAAGTCTAGAGACTTCAATCTAGAGGCATTTGAGAGAGTTGGTAATATAATTCCAGTGAATCTGTTTGCCCCAAGATAAAGTATCTCAAGATTGGGTAAAGTAACACCCAAAGTCGGCGGAAGAATGCCACTAAAATCATTGGTTGGTATGGAAAGTTCTCTAAGAGTTGAAATGTTGAATAGCTCATGTGGGATGGGATCTCTTAACTTATTTTGGCCCAAGTATAGTAACTCCAATTTGTAAAGGTTACCAATCCCACGAGGTATAACACCTGAAAAACCAATTAGGCAACAAGTTAAATGAGAAGAAAAGCCGATTCAATGGATGTAACCGTGAAAATATACATACACACACAAATAGTGAGATAAAAGCAAAATCAAAATATATAGGTGGGAGATAGTGGAGAATGGGGCTAATGTTGAGAGCTTTTTGTTCTCCTTTTCAAGACTTACTGTATCGGTTCATGATTTAATTGTCAAAGCAACTATATACTAAAGTAAAAGGAAAAATGGTTAGAACTTAGAACAACTTCATATTTTGATTATTATCTGATTCGAACTTAATGTTAATCTGAGTATCAACAATCTTATAGTGCATACTTAATGCGGAAAAATTCTGAAGGCCCTTTCATGTTTTTAAGGGAATTATGCTCTCTCAATTAAGATTCAATAACTGATTAATGAAATATATTAATGAAATTATTTATTTAACAAGTTTTTGGTATGGCTGCCCATTTGGCATTCACATACATTGCTTTACTGACTACTATAAGATGACAAATTTCCTTAAAAATGATGCTCTGGTAAGGATATTACTTGGTATGGACGTGCCAAGATTTATCTAGTAGATTTTAATTAAGACAGTAATCAATTTTTTTTCTCAAACACAATGTTATTAACAATTGAATTTCACATAATTTTTTTGATAACCGAATTATTTTTTATAAAATATTACATAATTTCATTAAAATGTAGAAGTTGCATCATCAGATTGAAAGAATACCAAGAGAACACCTCTTTCATTGTCGAGGTAGGCACTTACTGTTATACTACCATGTTCTTTAGTTTGAAAAATGCAGGGATTACCTATTAGAGGTTAGCTAATAAATTGTTCAAGGAGCAAATAGGAAGAAACATGGAAGTACACGGATGATATGTTGACAAAAAAACTAAACTGCAGACCACTTTCATGAGATTTAATTATTCTAAGAAAAGCTTAGATAACTTAATTTGTAAAGAATTATTCTACAGCTACCCCTTGGACATTCACTAGTAAAACAATTTGTACCTAATATAATTTCCCTATTTATATTTACACATTTTCCTTATTTAACTTTTTGGTTTAAAAAAGCAACACTTTTACCCGTTTTGGTCAATGTCTGTTGGGCACCTGATAACCAAAAGTGTTCATCAATGTTGTTCTGAATTTAGAATGCAGCAGGACAAAGAGGTAATTACAAGCTTGTGGAGCCTTAATGACCTGTTGGGGCTTGACATCAAATTGAGTTAATGTTTACAAGTTTGTTGGAGCCTTAATTAAGTTATCAAATTGAGGTAATTACAAGCTTGTTGGAGCCTTAATTACAAGCAACACTTGACCTGGAGGACATCACTACACATCTCCAAAGAGGTAATTATAGGCTAACATCAAATTCCACTTAATTTATCTTTTGAATGCACACAATCACAATTGTTGTACCCTTACATTTAGATACTTTCTTAAATTAATTACACTTTTCTAAACCACTGAGATCCCTTTTGAATGAGTAGTAATTGGGTATTTATTAGGCAAGGATAATGAATAAAAATAAATATATGATACCTTTGATGTCAGGGATAAATTATGGTCCAATTATATAGTTAGGCTAACGAGGGAACTAGTGACAAGTGAGTACATCATTTTTTTTTTTAGTTAATGAACAGTTTATATTTCAAAGCCTTGATTCAAAGAGCATATGATAGCATAAGTAAACGTCAATACGTATCTCGTCGTTACCTGTCAGATTAGCGTACTCTATGCCTAGCTGTTCCAAATTAGTGAGATTTCCAATATCTGCTGGAATTTGACCTGCAGAGTAGATCAATCATAATATTTACATAATTGTTTGACAAAATATATATGTAAGGAATTGTTTTAAGGAATGTACCTTAAGCTACCGAATGAGGCACTGAAGTAATTTGCCAAAAAAAAAAAAATATTTACATGTGTTACCGGAATAGTTCAAATTTATGAATATAATTAAGAAAAAGGAGAAGTATTTTGTGGACTATTTTGATTATTGAAAGCACCAAAATTACAAAAGATCTTTTAAAATTTTTAAACTACACACTTCAAAAAACCCAAAAATACACAAAAAATATTTTCTTTCCCTCCTTTTTTCTTCCACCTCAACCCACCACCACCTTCGTCGCTGGTCAAGACTGATCGGCGCAGGCCTCCTCCTTTTTTTTTTTTTTTCTCTCTCTTTCTCTCCCCTCTCCCCTACCACCAACCTTCCCCCTCTCCCTCCCTCCCCCTCCCCCTCCCTCAGGCGTGATCTGGTCAGAAAAAAGCAAAAAAAAAAAAAAAATTGTATCTACTGCTTTGACTTTTGGCGAGGAGAGGGAGACGTGGCGGGGGAGAGAGAGGGGGAAGGGGAGGAGAGGAGGAGAGGGGGAAGAGAGAAAAATGCCAAAATTTTTTTTTTTGTTTCTGCTGCTACAACTTTCAGCGGGGGGAGGGAGATGTGATGGGGGAGGGAGAGGGGGAGGGGGAGGGGAGAAGAAGAAGAGAGGAGTGAAAAGAAAAAAGAAAGAAAGAAAAAGAAAAAGAAAGAGAAAAAGAGAGAAAGAGAATGTTTATATAAAATTATAAATAGGGTTATACAAAAAATTGCTAAATTTTAGGGGACTAAATTTAATGCATACAACATTTATATATCTTGGCTATTTCAGTTATTTTATTTTCTAAACGAAGGTAATCCTGACATTTGAGTTGATTTCATTATAGATTTACATCACTTTGACATCTTAGTATAAACTATGAAGGATTTATATATAATTTTTAAAATCATAAAAGGATTATGTGGAAAAGAATTAAATTACATGGGGAAAAAAGTATAACTTACCCAATGGAAATTGTAACTCAAAATCAAGATGTTACTATCTATCGTACCTTGAATACGGTTTGCAAGCGCTAGACTTTGTTGTAGATCAGGAATTTTGGATTCCTCAGTGTTAGTATGCACTGGTTGTAAAGTTCGCTCAAGTCTTTACTTGAAACTTAAAGGTTCTTTTCATCTATAAAATCATATATCGTTTGGACAAAAAAAAAAAAAGAATACGGTTTGCACCTAGAGCTAGCACCCTAAGCGTGGTTAGATTCCAAATTTCTTTTGGTATATTTCCTGCCAGATTATTATATGACAAGGACAAGATTTGAAGCCTCGGACAACCTCCAATACCAGCCGGAACTTCGCCGTTAAACTCATTTATTGACAGATAAATCCCTTGGAGTTGTGGCAGATGATCGCAGATACCTGCCGGAAGGTAACCGGATAAGCTATTATTCGAAAAACTAAAGTGCTGCAATGACGAGAGGTTAAATAAAGATCGAGGCAAAGGGCCTTCAAGTTTATTATTTGCCATGCCAAGAACCTCCAAGTTCTGTAAAGCACTCCAGTCTTGAAGCAGATTTCCAGTTATGAGGTTCCGACCTAACCTGATGGTCTCTAACATTGTTACATTAGAGAACGTTGTTGGCAATGAACCTGAAATTCTGTTACCAAGGACCGAAAGGTAACGAAGTTGAGATAAAGCTCCCAACCATGATGGAAATCCGCCATCAAAGCTATTGAATGCCAAGTTAATGTGCTTGAGTCGACGCAAATGAACCATCTGAGTTGGAAGATTACCATGGAAGCTATTGTTTTCAAGATCCAGCCAGACTAAGGAGGAGAGATTCCCCAACTGTGGAGGTATGGTTCCAACTAAGCCCATTTTGGGAAGTTGTATGGCGGCGACTCTTCGATGGCGAGTGTTACAAGTGATTCCTATCCAATTACAAACAGAGGTAGAAGTGGACCAATTGATTGGGAGGATGTTTTGGGGGTCGGAAATGGCAGCCTTGAAGGCAAGAAGAGCGTCTAGATCATGATCACGGGTGTTGTTATGGGCAACAACGTTAGTGGTACTTGAGGAAGCTGCGGCTAGGCTTGCGACCAAGGCTACAAGGAAGAGGAAATAAGCTTTCTCCATATTTAATTTCTTTTCCAGAACGTGGATATACACTAGTATTGCAATAAAATACATATATAAATGGATTGAAGCACAACAACCCTTCTTTATTTTTATTTTTTTATTCTTCTTTTGGTCTTTGGAGAAGAGTACCTTCTGATAGTAAGGGTGTGCCCACTAGTCAGCGAAGAATAATGTAGAATCAGGATGGCGCCGTGGCGGTAAAGTAGACCTTAGGCTTTGCATATGACTTTTCCATCTTGTACAATATGGTAAACTATTTAAAGAGTTTTTAAACTTTTCAAATTATCAACTTCTAGTATTTTATCTATTTCAAGTCTCATATAATCCCCTCAAAAATAAATAGTATCTAATTTTGATTCTTTGATCCATTTCTACATTAAAGCTAATAAATTTGAGGGCAAAATTTGATGAATCTAACAATGAAAATAGACAAAAAAAAGTTAAAATTTAACAATTTTTTATTGTTGGTGAGTGACTCTAAGATTTGAAATAGACGAGGGACTAAAATAGATGATCTAGAATTTGTTCATTATGTTTGTGTTACAAAAAACAATCGAGGCATTTTTGGACGTTGGATTGGAGTTTTCCTTAGGTAAGAAAATTGGGGTTTATTTTTAAACTCAAAATATTTAAAATGGGGTGCGCGTTTGTATGTATGTATATATATGTGTGTATATATGTACATATATATATGTATGTATATTTTTATATAGGGATAATTTCAAAAACCTCCCTTGAGGTTTCATGAAATATCGCCTAGCTCCCCTAAACTTTTCAAAATCTCACTTAGCACTCTTGAAGTGATAGTAGGGCCATATACTAATATCAAAGGTGATGAATTGTCAATAATACCATCATATTTAAATTTTTTGAACTTGTTTTTCTTTCTCTAAATTTCCTAATTTTCTTTAACAATGTCTATACAAACATACATACATATATATATATATATATATATGTATAATTGAATTGCAAATGTCAATGAAATATAGGATTTAATCAATGAAATATACAATGCATTTGGAGAAGAATAGCTGCAGGTTCTTTTTATTTTTTCCCTTTTTTAGTGTTTCACAACTTTATTTGCTCATTTATTTATTCCTATTCATGTAGAGCACAAGAGAAATAAAGTAATTGAAACTCCAAATAGTTTTTCAAATTCTGACTTTTTCTATAATAAAATTTTCATATTTCACACCCATAAAAAAAGTCTGTTTATTTTGAGTAAATTTTTTGTATGATATTGAAGTTGAATTTCATCTATTACTAAGTTTTTTTTTGCTCAAATGTATGATTTTACACGCTAATTACTTTCAACAATGTGAAGGGTACTATTTGTAGAAATGGTTTAAAAAATAGTATTTGCTTTTATTATCTCTTCCTACCGTAGAAATGACTATTGGCTGTAACATAAAATCTTACCAATTTTCATTTCCTCACATTTAAGATGGTTCCAATTTAGTATTTTTTTTTCTTAGTTTGTAAAATGTTCATTTTTTTGTAGCCTAAGGGTATTAAAGGCACTAAAATAATCTCTCTACTCAAACATGAATTTTTTAATATTACTTTTGGTTAGAAGGGCTTCCCATCTTACCAAAATGTCAATTCAAGAGGTACTAAGTGAGATTTTGAAAACCTCAAGGGAGCTAGGTGATAATTCATAAAACCTCAGGGGAGGTTTATGAAATTATCCCTTTTATATATATGCAACTGTTTATGTATATATATGTATATATGTATGTATGTATACGTATGTATTTGTATGTATGAATGCATGCATGCATGCATTTATGTATGTATGTGTAAATATATATATGTACATATATATACACAAACATATCTATGTATGTATATGTATATCTATGTATATGTATATACATATACATATGTATATACATATGTATATACACATATATACACAAACATATCTATGTATATACATATGTATATACACATATATACACAAACATATCTATGTATGTATATGTATATATGTATATGTATATGTATATACATATATATACATATACATATGTGTATATATATATATAAAGTAAAGGATTTAAGAATGTGATCGAACTGTAGCAACTTGAGAAAAATAGAACAACAGTTAAATGAGCAGTTAACAATACAATTGCATTACTAATAAAAAGACTATATGTGGCATTTGATAAGAGGGTTTCAGAATGGAGAATTGGAATAAACCCTATAATTATTGTTTGGATTACTACTATCGGAATCGAGATTTTGGAATCATACTTAAAAATTTGGAGTTCTCCAATTTCCTAATAACTTGGAGGGTTTTGGACAAAATCCAAGTCTGATTCCGGTTTAGAAATGGAGCCCATCCCGTCACCCGTTAAAAAAATTAATATATAATTATATACATATATATAATATATATATTATAATTATAATATCTAATTATAATTACATATTTTATTATAATATGTTTATAATTATTGCAAGGCCAATTAACAAAACCATACTACTATTTCTATGAGCCTGTGCAACGACAACAAATAACTTTCTGTTTCTCGAGTTAGTAGTCCCACTCTTAAATTTTCTTCAATTTTTTGTCCTCATTAGACCCTTAAGTAAATTATTAGAGAGGTAGTTGTCACTATGATAAACCTCTAGAGACGAATGTAAGATTATCTCAAAGACCTTGCAATTTTTTTATTTTTTTATTTAAGAAGAACTCTAAACCTTACAATAGAGCATTGCTTTACATGCCTAATTAAATTTTTTCTAGTTCCGTCTAATAATTGTAATTCTTATAAGATTTGATATATTTCTCACTAAGTTGAGGTAAATAAAAAAAGTTTAACTACACTCAGGGGCGGAGGGAAGGGGGGGCTAGGGGGGCAACCGCCCCCCCTCCAATTGTAAAAAAAAAAATTTCTAAGTAAAAATTTTTTTATTATATTGTTTTGCCCCCCCAAATATTGATAAAAAATTTCACTTTGCCCCCCCTCCAATTGTTATAAAAAAAATTTCTAAGTAAAAAATTTTTTATTATATTGTTTCCCCCCCCAAAAAAAATTTGATAAAAAATTTCACTTTGCCCCCCTCTCAAGGACCCAAACAATAATGTTTGAAAGTTATTTGGACTTGGTCCAAATAACAGAGACTCGCCCCCCTAATTGCAATTCCTAGCTCCGCCATTGACTACACTAAACTAGTATGAGCGATATTAAATATTATATGAATTGCAGCAATCAAATGTGACAAAATTCAGTTGGACTTTCCCGTATCCGTGCTTAAGAGTCTAAATTGAAGATAAACAATGGCTTTAATATCTTTATTAAACTGTAAACAAACGACGCACGCCACTGACTTGAATAGCTTTGTTTGTCTGTAATGTTGTGGCAATTGATGAGTGTACCAATAGAAGGTGTCTCCATGTTGACAGCAAATGTCCTTTCCAAACCAGCAGGGATAAGGGGCACAAATGGTTGTAAGTGCAACCGTTTGTGCAGGTTGTGTGCATTTTGCACTGTGAGTAACATTAATTGCACACGGTGTAACTTTCTTTGTACACGACGTAATTTTAGAACAAATTTTTGTGGGTCTCACACTTAGCATGAAAATCGAGTTATAAAACGTGATCTGAACCGCACAAAATTTTGAGGTCAAATCAGGACCGTCCATTGGCAGGAACGGTTGTCAGAGACAACCGTCCCTGCCCCATTTCCAGCCAGCACAGCCGACATAGAATTTACTGGAAAAACTGAGGGAGACGTGCACCAGAACCCATTCACACACGTGATTAAGGCTCCATCTTGGGGTTGCGATGCTATTGGCAATAAGTTCTTTTAGGATGCATTTGATAAAAGTTTGGAAACTCAAATATGGAATATGAAATTTGAATTCATTAAATTATTAAATATTAAATCAAATACATTTGAGTATATATCACATTTCGTAATAAGTGAAGAGTTTATTACTTTTTTTTGAGCAAATTTTGTCTAAAAAATTCAGTGCCACTTAACTAATTCAGATGCTCAATTTTTTGTTATCAAATGCGAATAAATATATTAAGATCTGAATCCATTAAATTTAAGTATTGAATTAGATATTATCAAATAGGTTCTTAGTTGCTAAAAGTATTTTGAAAACATTTGGCGAACATCATCTCAAAGAATAAGGAGTAGAGTATTTGGTATTAAAAGTACTTTTAGCAACTATATGATGCTTTTAAAGTAATTTTTATGATTTAAAAAATAAAATATCAAATTTAATATTAAATTTAATCATTTTATCCTATATAATGAATTAAATAAATTTCAAAAATTTCAAATTATACATTATCCAATACAATAAATACTCATTAAACTATATTTTCAAACAATATACTTAAAAGCACTTAATAAGTTAATAAATATTTTTATTAAAAACTCTATTAGAGAAGTAGAAATATTTTTTAATAAGTTTGGAACCTAGTAATTTGGACGTCCTAATCGGCTTTTATTATTTTTTTTAAAAGGACGTCCTAATCTGTTTTGGAGGAAATATCAAGGGAGAAATGTCTTATGACCATTCGGTCAAGTCATAAACTATCGCTCATATTCAATATCATGTCCATCGACGGATTGATGAGGATAGTGATTAAAGAAGACATTGGAAGATTACTTGGGGATAACTGAGTCGCAGGGCTCTAATGCTTCGTCAAAGTGTGGAAACGAAAACTTTGTTTCATCCCCACTGCATTGTCTAGGAAATTTCATTATTGACTGAAAGTACCATGAAAGTGCTTGTCTTTGTTTCGGCCAATCATATAGAGACAGCAGATTTAAATATCTCCCCAAGTCCTTTTTATTTGTCATGGTAGAGAATAATATATGCTGGTATCCTATTTGTGGGTGGATAGATTCGGAACTCTTTGGACATTTGGCCTTTTCTAGAACTAGAATTGGAATTGAAAAATGTTGCTATTTGACGGGTATTTTACATACGTGCAAGCTAAAAAATACCGAATTACACCCGTTCACTGT